TTGTAGCTGAAGGTGGATTAATTGTTTACATAGGGATGCATGGGAAGAAATGTACAAGCAGAACAAGAGGATTGCTGCCACTTATAAATGCTGCAACTGCGTCGTTTATACCACCTTTATTGTGGTTTTAAAATTCCAGAAAATTGAACCAAATCCACTTAATTGTGGTTCCAAAGGTCCAAGAGTTTCATTTGGGCTGGAATTTAGGTCCAAATTTGGACCCGAAAAGGACAAGAAGCAATGTTGTCAGAATCGAATCGGAGCATAACCCGGTAATGCGAACGGTTCGCACTTTAGTGGTCTAACCAGCATTAGACCGTTTAAAAATCGTTAGAGAACTGGTACCTAATAAATGTTATCAGTACAAATAATGGACAATTCTTAATCAGAGCTCGTCTCTTTCCTTCGAAATTGTGCAATGGAAACAAAGATTCAATTTGAGAGCCCGACGTTTTTGGTTTATTTCCATTTTCAATTTTCTACAATTTTTTTAATTAAATTTAACGACTGAATAGCAACAACCGGACGAGCGGCTTGATCGGCTCAAGCGGTTAACCGCCTCGGCCGCTCGTCAACCGAAGCGGCTTTTGGAGTGTTCCGAGCCGATTTTGTGACCGGATGGTGGTTTTTCCGGTCGGGCCGAGCGGCTCGGCTCGGCTTTAATAACACTGACAAGAAGTCCAAAATCGGGCGGAACGTGACAAGGAAAGAGAGATGACGCACCGAAGGGCGGGATTGCGCGGCAGGTGCGCGCTCCGCCAACCCCTTTACGCCGTCCTCTACAGGTACACCACACGGGTCACGGGGAACTTCCTGCAATTGTATGGGTTTTTTCCAAAAATAGCACTGTTTAAAAAAAAATTCCAAAAATAGCACCCAACTCCGAAAAATTCCAAAAATAGCACACTTTCTGCAAAACCGCCACCCGTACCAGCGGTTTAGGTGAAAACCGCCACCCGGAGGTGCATTTTTCGATGAAAACCGCACTGGTAGGGGGCGGTTTTGCAAACCGCACCCCCACCATGCGGTTTGGTTGCAGACCGCACCCCCACCACGCGGTCTGTTTTTTTTTTTAAATCCTAACCTAGGCGGAAACTTAAAACAAACTTATCTTTGTGTTCGGGTTTCCGATCGTCGCGATTTTTTTTTTTTTTTGATTCCGCATAACCTTTTGAGATCTTGCAAGGCGAAGTCTGCCGAAGGTGGTTTGGTCCCGCTTTTGTCCCAAAAAATGTCGTTTGCTACCCCGAACGAGCTTTTTTCATATTTCGTCAAACTTTGGACAACCATAACTTTGTGCTCCAAAATCCGAACGACATGGAATTTTTTTTTTAATTCGCATAACCTTTTAAGGACTACAATTTTTACTAGGAATGAATTTTCAAAACAGGAATTATTTTTGGATATACAGGATTTTGGGAATAGCTTACCTTCCCTTCTCAGCAATCCACTTACATCTTGAAATGATGTCTATGATAAAAACTGTATTCCTTAAAAATTTATGCGAAATAAAAAATATTTCATGTCGTTTGGATTTTGGAGCACAAATTTATGGTTGTCCAAAGATTGACGAAATCGGAAAAAAGCTCATTCGGGGTAGCAAACGACATTTTTTCGGACGAAGGTGGGACCAAATCACCTTCGACAGTCTTCGGCTTGCAAGATCTCAAAAGGTTATGCGGAATTAAAAAATAATTCGCGACGATCGGATACCCGAACACAAAGATACGTTCGTTTGAAGTTTCCACCTAGGTTAGGATTTTTCAAAAAAAAAAAAAAAACAGACCGCATGGTGGGGGTGCGTTCTGCAACCAAACCGCATGGTGGAGGTGCGGTCTGCAAAATCGCCCCTTACCAGTGCTGTTTTCATCGAAAAACACGCCCCGGGTGGCGGTTGTCGCCTAAACCGCTGGTAATGGTGACGATTTTGCAGAAGTGGATACTATTTTTTGACTTTTTTTGGAATTGGGTGCTATTTTTGGAGGAAAAAAAATTAAACAGTACTATTTCTGGAAAAATCTCCGATTGTATACGTATATACAGACCCCTAATTAATCCCTCCCCATTTACTCTCTCCACCAAAATGCAGACACACTAAGTCTACCTTATATATATGCCAACTACAATTAAATGTTTGTTAACCCTTTTTTTCCCCTTAAACCGCGGTGGTGGGATGCTTCTTAACTCTTTTAATTCAAGTTAGTATGTGTGGGTGTAAATATAAATTAAAAAATGATGCTAATTAATTTGATGACAAGAATCATATTAGATAATATATATAATAAACCTGGTGGGGTTTACAAAATAACGTCATATTTACATATTATTTTTTTGCAAATGCGTTTTTTTAATTAACAAATGCGGCATATATAGTCCTTCAATTTTGAACATATGCCAAATGGCAGGCATGTTCGTTTGTCAGAAAAAATATATTAGTTGACGATCAAAATGTAACGAGAAATAACTGATATGTACCTTGCATGATATTAATGTATCATTAGTTTACCAGAAATGAAAAAAATAATAATAAAATTATACTACAACCACATCAATTCAAATTTCCCAAAACAAATTATACATGTCTTCCTCAAAACGTAGGAACGAAATGATGTGGCAATGATGTGGCATCGATGTGTCGGCCACGTTGATGTCACGCCGGCCCCAATCTGACGTCGTTTTCAAAATCGTCTGGTCAATTGTTATATCTAACGGTCAACGAAACTGCAAGGATACAAATGACACAAATTATCATAGTTGAGTACATGAATAAAATATTTGATACATTAGCACACAAGTGGCATTTGTTTAATAATTCGATTGTTATAGTGGTGTTTTCCCAAAAATAAAATGTAATTTACTTTTTGATTTGTTCATAAACATGTAGGATAATGCATGCTTGGTCATCAATGACTTAAATGTTCCTTGCGTTGCTTTTCTTTTACGTCATTTCAAGACTATCTAAATGCCTAAATCTCCACGAATACTCGCAAAATATGTAATGGTCTCATGTATTTCTCAAAATAAGTGCAATTAAAGTCAGGGGTAGGGTACAAAACTCATTTATTTTTGTAGTACTATAAAATTAGATCTAATGGTTATAATTTGGGAATGAGATATTTAATAATCATTATTATAAAGAGGTGGAGAGGAAAAATGAGGTCTGTCCGGATTTTGTAGTGGACTACGCGAATTCATCGGCACTTTTCAATTCTCTTACTAAAATTCAACGGATCATGGCGCATTCATTTTATGTCGGATTCAGAAAAAACATTTAGTAGAAAAATCAGAATTTTGTGCTTTACAAGATGATATCCATTTTGATAATTTTTGGAGAAATTTTTTTCTAGGTCATATCAGATCAAGTTTATGTTATTCATATCAAGATTGTATCAGTTATCTTCTATTTCATTCATATCAAGATCATATTAGCTCATATAAGTTCCTATCATTTCATATAAGTTCTATGTCATTTATATCAATATCATACCAGTTGATATGACAGTGATAATACTATAATCGACACGTGTTTTGAAGAGTTCATTTTTCTTTGATCAAAATATAGCAAAATGGATGAGAGGTTGTAGTTGATAAAAAGGGAATTAAGTAATGAAAAGTATCACATTTGACTTCAGAACCCACAAGCCACAACGCCTCTTCAGAACCCACAAGCCACAACGTTTCGTCTTCCGGATTCGTCTCGCCAGAACAAATAGAAAGTTGTACGAAGTGAGACGACTGATGACAACGACAAATCACTGGATTTCGGCGAGTCAATAACTCGGTAAATGCTTCTCACTATCTACCACTCTACTCCTTTGCTAAACTGATATCCTTCAAGAGATGAAATTGGGTATCTTCGTATCTGGTAAGTAGAGGATTGAGAAACAGAATTACCAAGGTCTCAATTCCTTAGTGAGAAGGGTTTATGCAGTTGTTGTAGCAGTCATGTTGAAAATAGCGCAAGGAACTATAATCACGACTTTGGATAGTTTGAGCGATCATGTTAATCGACTGAACATCAGCAAGTTCATTAAAAGATCTGATTATGTCATTTGATTCTGGAGGAAGGTTATGGCTTTGGGCAGGAAGTTCAAGCTGATTAAGGTGGAGGGACTGATCAATTGAATGATATTGTATACTTGTAGGTATGATTGAAACGAAATGATGATGAAATAAGCTTAGATCTGAACTTTTTGTTAGCCTGAGCTTTGAAAAAACCGGTTTGGTAAGTTTGATGGGTGGAGTATTTTTTTGGTTACCAAACTGTAATTTATCAAAATTTGTAGTAAGTGATTAGAAAATTCAAAATTAGATTAAAAAATGATAAAAATTAAAATACAAACAAATTACAAATGAATATCCAAACAACAAATTTGAATTACATGTAGTTTAAATGTTAGTATTTCAAATACATATATTTTAAATAAACCTATCCAAACACGCTATTAAAAACTTCAAATACAGAGATATACTATACTTTAGGAGGATGACACTAATCTTTGCCATATGGGACAACTAAGCGCATTTTCTATGTAGCCACATTTGCTTTTGTATTTGCTGGTAATTGTTCCCATCGTTTTTGTTTGAGCCGACAATTATTCCTGTTTCTTTTTCCTCCCCACTTGTGAAACATACACCAAACTCATTTCCCCCACCTTTTGTTCTGCAATTTGACATTTGTCAAGAGTAAACCAAAAATGAAAGTACACATAGTTAAGTCTCAAACACTCGCAACTCAGGCAAAAAAACAAAACTAGTAATCTCATAGAAATTCCAACTTACCAAATTGGAACTCCATTCCAATTATTTTTTTACTATAAATCTAGAGACTACACAACACCAAATCAATCAAACCAAAGGCAAGAAGAGCTTCATTTGGTAAGTAGCCAAAAGATCAGAGGAAAAAAGAGACTTAAAATCGATCCGCAATGAACTCTTCCGCCAAGCTTAGGATGATGATGGTGAATATCATGGCAGTTTCCTCCCTCCTTGTCCTTGTGATGATCAGCCAGTCCGCCACGAGATCCGACGCCGCCGTGGTCGGATGCAACGACGTGAGGAGCAAAGCCGGGCCGTGCCTGAGCTACGCGGAAGGCAAAGGCGACCAGAACACCGTCCCTCCGGCCTGCTGCGACGGGATGCGCAATATTTCGGCGGAAGCCAAGACCGTGGAGGACAAGAAAGGTGTGTGCAACTGTCTGAGGCAAGTCTTCCAGATGTTCAAGAAAGGTTTGGTCGACAGCTGGTTGCAGCAAATTCCTGGCAGGTGCGGAGTCGACGTTCCTTTCAAGCTCTCCATTGATGCCGACTGCGACAGGTTCGATATCGAAACGCCACTCGTTTAATTTACTTATGTGTATAGATAGATAGAGCACTGCGCCGCATTTCGATTACACATATGGTTTGTGTTCTCTGATGTAATTGATATGATCTGTGTGGTTGAATGTTGGTGCAGCATCAAGCAGTAAAGTTCGGAACCAACCTACTGATCATCCAGCTTTGGTACGCAACGGATTTGTAGTTCAGCGATATTACGTTCGAGGGGGATTTCGTGTCGAATGCTTCTCAAAATTTTGTTGCTTATTATATGATTGATTCGCGTATTTTTTCCCTGTTATCGACGGATTAATGTACGTTTAATTTGTTTAATTACATGGACTTGATGTACTGAGTAGTACTAATCAACCAACTTCTGCTTGAACTCAATTTGAAATTTTTCTTGCTAATTAATTAAGTACTAGTGTAATGGCCCCGCGCTCTGCGGCGGGTACCATATGTTTTATATCAAACGTATCAAGTGCTAATCATCTCTAAAATATGTTAGTACCTGAAATTCGTGTGAAGATTTTCATATTGTTAGAAGTTTTTGAATAATCGAAGAACATTCCTTCCTTCTGAATGGAGTACTCGACATTACAACTTAATAATATGTATTGGTGGATAGGAAAACGATGGACCTTAGAAGCAGATCGAGTGAGTATATTTGATCCCACCCAGGAATAGAATCCAGAACCAATAGGAGTGGAATTCTTATATCTTTCTTTTTCTTGCCATTCATTTAATAAACCGTTGGAGTTGTGGTTTTCCCGTGATCCAAAGTGAAATGCTTTTGAAGCTTTTCTTCAGACTTTTTATATTATAACAACCATAGCGAAGCAGAATCTGAAACTAATACAACTCAATTGTGGATAGTTTAATGAAACAACACATAACATACAGATAACATGAATCTGAAACAGTGAAGCTAAGATCCCCTTCTCTTGCCAGGGATTTGAGTCTTCATCCACGAAGCTAGCTACGATGACAACTGGTTAATTAATTAGCTGAAGACTCTAGTGAAGAGCTGATAGGGAAACGATATAGTTGACTCGGCCGCCAATTGGAAGTCAGGAAGGAAGAGTGGCGATGGGAGCGGTTAGAATTCAACTTGGCCAATCGCCATTCGATTGACAAAGGAAAATCTCAGAGTCAGAGGCCAATCGGAAGACAGGAAGAGCGACGATGGGAGTAGACTAGGCGGATAGAATAGAATTCAACTTGGCCAATCGCCACTTGATTGACCAAGTAAAATCTTGGAGTACAAATTTGATTTCAGCTGGAGAAGGGACAAGGTTAAAAGTAAAACTACGTTGAAAGCTGGAACTTGGGTAATCGCCAGCCCTGCGACGTAGGTAGATTTGAAAAGTCTCGGGAGAAAGGTGCATGGTACTTACGGAGTACAAAACACTCATTTCATGCATTTCAAATCATCTATTATAAAAAAAATTATCTATTATATCCATTATTATATACCATGTTTTTCGACAAAATTCTCCCGACCAACGGATTGGGCTCTGTGCTAGTTTACATATAGCTTACTATAAGTTCAAGCCAAGAGGCACGTTGATGTGGAGGAACTTCACTATAGTATTTGAGATGTAAATGTGGATGATTCTGCAAAGGGGAAAAACTTAAGGTTAACGCATGAATATGAGATAATGAGGTTGGATTGGATTGGATTAACGAATGAGAAATGAGGCGAATGTCATATTAGGAGGATGGTTTTGGGTATATAACTATCGTATTAGCTAACCTGAAATGTATTTTGGATGACCCTTCTGCTTGGAGCCTTTGATGGAATCGCGTGTGAATGTGGCATAACACAAGGAGACTGTAGAATCGAACATCGAGCCTATCAGTTTTGAATTCGGATGGTGATGCCACTCCTCAAAAGGATTTTACTGTAAAATACGCTAACGAGTAAAAGCAAAAAGAGACGAGACACCAGAATTTACGTGGTATTCTCGTTCAACATGAACGAGACTAATCCAAGGAGAGTTTGGTGCTCTTAGAGAAAAACTAATATGGTTGTCTTACAATTGTGTTACTCGGCCACAAGGGGAACCGAGATACATAAAGGGTAAAAACCCTAGCTCTTTTCCTCGTGTAACATGGAACTAGGCAAATAACGAAGTGATCCCTAATTTAATAAATGATTACAATTAGGAACCACAACAAGCGAAGGAGTGAATGTCAAGAAGTCCGAGCTTGACGAAGAGATGATGAAACTGATCCACACTCAATTCCTTCGTGAAAAGATCTGCAGGCTGATCGGTAGTAGCAATCTTGGCCGGAGCAATCTCACCAGATTGAACACACTCCCGGACAAAGTAGCAATCCATCTCGACATGCTTAGTGCGCTCGTGAAAAACTGGATTAACTGCAATGTGAAGAGCAGCCTGGTTATCGCAGAACAAGACAGTAGGACCTGAGGGAGGTACACCCAAGTCGCGGAGAAGCCACCGTAACCATAGAATCTCACTGACTGCGCTCGCCATGGCCCTATATTCAGCTTCAGCTGAGGAACGCGTAACGACGATCTGTTTCTTAGTGCGCCAAGAGATGGGAGAGTCACCAAGAGAAATGAAGAAGCCCGTCGTGGAGCGACGAGTGGTGGGACAACCACCCCAATCTGCATCACAAAAACCGGTCAGTGTAAGAGGAGTCGACGCAGAGAAGAAAAGACCACGACCTAAAGCACCCTTAAGATATACAAGAACACGGATGGCAGCATCCTCATGAGCCTAAGTGGGTGACTGCATAGCCTGACTGAGAAGATTAACAACGTAGGTGATATCGGAATGTCAGATAGAGCAAGCGACCGATGATACGCCAATAAGCAGCTGGATCACAGGCAGGAGGAGAAGGTAAGCACCCCCAAGCTATGTTGCTGCTCAATCGGTGTAGAACAAGGGCGAGCAGTAGTCATGCCCGTGTCGGCCAAGATGTCCAAGACGTATTTACGCTGGTTAAGAACAAGGCCCTTGGGTGATCGAGCAACCTCAATGCCCGAAAAATACTTGAGAGACCCAAGAGCCTTGATGGTAAAACGATCGTGGAGAAAAGTCTTGACCTGTTGAATGAAGGGCATATCATTGCCTGTAAGAATGACATCGTCAACATAGATGAGAGCAACAACAAAGATAGAACCACGACGATAGGTAAACAGAGCATGATCAGCTCTGCTCTGAACAAACTGGAGCTCCAATAAGGTCTGAGTGAACTTCTTATACCAATACGAGAAACCTGATGTAAACCATAAATGGACTTATGTAAGCGACAGACCCGAGTATCGCCAGGACGAGAAAACCCTTGAGGCACACTCATATAAACTTCCTCGTGTAAATCGTCATGGAGAAAGGCATTGTTCACATCGAGTTGATGAATATGCCAACCTCGAGTGACAGCAACAGCGAGAACACAACGAACCGTCACGAGCTTGGCTACAGGAGCATAGGTGTCGTGCAAATCCACGCCTTCAATCAGAGTAAAACCCTTCGCAACCAACCTCGCCTTGTATCGCTCAATAGAACCGTCTGGGCGAAAATTGATCTTGAAAACCCATTTACAAGCAATAGCACGTTTCCTGGGCGGGAGATCAACCAAGGACTAGGTGCCATTTTCCACCAGCGCATCGATCTCCAATTGCATGGCATCGCGCCAGTGCTTATATCGCAGGGCCGGGAAGAAATGAGTGGGCTTATCTATAGCAGTGATAGCGGCTACAAAGGCATGGTGAGCAGCTGAGAGACGATGATAACTAATATAATCATCGAGAGGATATAAGCCTGGGCAGAGTGAGCTACACCAGGTAACTTGACATCGTAACCTGTGAGACGAGTGTTGGGACGACGAATCTGATCGCCACGACGAGGAGGAACTGGCTCGGGTGACGAAGGAGCTTCCTCAGCTGTCGAGCGAGGCACTGAGGGGCTGGTAACAGGCGTGGAGGCAGAGGTGTCCGAGAGACGGTTGGCCGACTCGGAAGAAGATGAAGACTCCTGCATGGGCGACATTGACGTGGTTGGAGCATGCATGGTAGGGAGCACGTCCGAGATGGAAGTATGTTCAGAGAGAGGAACTGGCGACGACGCCAAAGGGATATCATCATCATCGTGAACAGGGGGAGGTGGAATGCCAGGTTGTGGAGCAGAAACAGCCGCTGGGGTGAGCCTCGAGTCCTCAAATCATGGTAAGGAAAAACGTTCTCAAGGAACTTGACATCTCATGAAGTGTATATAGTCCTCTTCTCGAGATCATATATGCGATAACCTCGTTGAACCGACGGATATCCCAAGAAAATTCCAGCCCGACTGCGATCGCCAAACTTGTGCAAACCATGATGATTATCCCGCGCATATACCAGGCTTCCAAAACTGCGTAGATGGTTATACGAGGGAGTCTTCTGGAACAAGATTTGAAAAGGAGATTTATTGCCAAGAGAAACCAATGGCATCCGGTTAATGAGATAGGTCGCCGTAAGTACACATTCTCCCCAAAATTTGATGGGTAAATTGGCGTGAAACCGCAAAGCACGAGCAGTGTCGAGCAGATGCTTGTGTTTGCATTCCACGACCCCATTTTGTTGCGGAGTATCAGTGCACGAGGTCTGTAGCACTATCCCTTTTTCTCCATAAAAGTCGAGCAGAGCATTACTCGAGAATTCAGGCCCATTGTCAGCCTGTATGCGTCGTACCTGTCCATCGAACTGGGTGCTAACCATGTTGCAAAAATACATCAAATGACGACCAACATCTGACTTGTAACACAACAAGAAAACCCATACTGCACGACTATAGTCATCAACTATAGTTAAGAAATAATGTGCTCCAAAAGTGGAGGTTGTCCTGTAATTGCCCCAAATATCCACATGTATCAACTCAAAATACGACTTGGTCGTTATACTACTGGAAATGAAAGAATCCCGAGTTTGCTTAGCACGCAAACAAGACCGACAAGGTTCTTTAGTATGAACAAGAGAACAATCTAGAAGTTTCTGCAAAAGATCCAACTTTGCCATAGATGG